CGATGGTCTGTAGATTGTCCGTGGATCCTGATACTTGTGCATTATCTGTCGACCAATAAACCAAGCTCGTGTTTGCCTGTGATCATTACGACAAACTCCCACTTCACATGTTCTCATGTATATTTGCGAATTACGAAGCACTCATTCGTGTCCATCTTCGTTGCTCGCAAACGTCAACTGCAACTATCATTTACGCATGATAGCGTCAACAACGACCTATTCGATTTTTTCACTCTAAACTCGAAATTGTATTTCAGTGCAATTAGGTGCACGGCTTCTTGCATCTCTTTCTTCATTTCAAACAGTTGCTCGACATACAAATCCTCATTATCAGGAACCACACGTGAGGAGTTAGAGGACGGTCCACTCGATCTAGCCCCCGAGGTGCCACCCCACTAATGTCTCTGCCAGGATAAACCAATCACGTTCTCGTTTGTAAAAGTGTTTGCATTTTCATTCTCGTTGTCACGAGCAGCAGAGGGAATTCTATGTGTAACTATCTCTGGAATAATCACATCATTTTCACGAGCTATCTCCACCGTATCCCAAAAATCATTAGTATTGTGATCCCCACCTCCTGAGTCTACTTGTTCATCTTCAACGACATCTTTCCTTACTAAAGTCACGCAAGGAGGAGTCGTGTGCTTATTGTTCAGTTCAATCAGATAATTCACTTCATCAACAGAAGAAATCATTATATGTGGAATCGGAACTGATGCATGCTCACTGAATTTAAATTTCAATTCTATGTTGTACTGAGAAGGATCAACATTCAACTTATTATGTAAATCATTAAAGAGCTCTGCATACGATGTACCTGATGATATGGAAATTGCGATACCACTACGTTTATCACTTGTCAATTTCCATACCCATTGATCTTTTGCGTCCAATTCAAAATCACCAAAGTAACAAACGAGATTACAACCATATCTGCATGTCGAAACAGAATTTTTAATTACGTGAAAAATATCAACAGCAATAAAAATAACCGAAAAAAGGGAGAAAGAAAAAAACAGTTCGTAAACAGCCGATCGGCTGTTAAACAGCCGGCCAAACAGGCCGACTGTTTAACAGTTGGTTGTTTGGCCGACTATTTGGCTGGCTATTTGACTTGCTGTTTAACAGTCGGTCAAACAGTTGATTCACCGGAGCCGGCATAATATGCAGATGAATTTTTTCCGGTCAAATACTTCAAAAATTACAGATCTATTACATTTTTTTCTACTAATCATTGAATGTCGAAATACAATTTATGAATTTAAACATACAATAATTTAACGAAAACAAGATTAAATTTGCGTATATAAACTTACTGAACTGACGAGATTAATGTCCACAAATTTTTCGACTTCCGATTTCAATAAATTTTTAAGTTTCTGCAATTGATGTAGATGAAGGATGAGAGTGTTTTATTTATCTGTGTTGGAGTATACAGATGAGAAATGTAGGAAGTGTTTGATTTTTATTTGTTAAGTGAAAGGGTATTTCCGTCTTTTAAAAAAATCAACTTTTGTAATTGTATAATGTATTTAAGGGTATTTTTGTCTTTTAACATTGAATAGGCCAATTTCATAATATCTCTTTGTTGAGAAGTTAATGTGAAATTTAGATGCTCTGACCAGGTTAATTTTAAAAGTACCCCAAACCTACATGACCTGACCCATATAATTAAACCGAACCTAACCCATATAATTGAACCAAAATTAAGCCCCCGTTTGTTTCTCATTTTAGAAAGAATGATAATGAAAAATATAGTTATTACGGACCCCACACAAAAATTAAAAATTTAAATTTGATGACTTGACGTGAACGGTCATATTTTTCATTTTAATGAAAAAATAATGAAAGGGTTTAAATCTAGCATTTCTATCCATTTACCGGTTCTTTGTCTAAACTTGAAACCCTAAAAGTTCCCTCTTCATCTTCGTCTTCTGTTGTCGCTCCACCTATTCCTCTATCTGCCCAAATAGTCGTCGTTGGGGTTAATCACTAGTTTTTGGTCGTGTGTTGCCTGCAACCCTTTCCATTTCTCTGCAATTGGCTTTTTATCCAGTTAGAATTTCACTCGATTGGATTATTCTTTATTTTTTTCTTGATTCACTTCGATCTATTTCATCTATTGTTTATAACTCTTAACATTTTTTTGGAATTAAAAAGAATGGTCTCTTTTTGTACAAGAACTATTTCTATTTTTAGCATCTTGACATCCCTAGATTTTGATATCTCAGTTGTTTATCAATCGCAGGGAGCTTGTGCCTTGTAGGAGTAGAGAAGTTCCGCAAGCTGGTTGCCTCTTCCGACATGCCTGCTCTCCCTGGTACTTCATTTCCTTTGTGCGTGTCATATGGAAATGTTTGACATTTGTGGAACTATTATTTGGATTTTCATTTTGTGTTAGAGGAAATATCTAATGGGCCATCGATTTTAGTGTTGAAATTTGAAGTTTTTGGATACTGGAAATGTCTGATTTTGGCTGGGTTAGTGATGTTGGATATACATTCTTTTTGTTTATTTTGGTAAATGGAATTACAGTTCAGTTGAAATGTGAAGTTTAAAATAAGACAATGAATTCGAGTTTAAGACGTTTATTAATTTGGTACTTACAAATACAGAAAGTTTTGAAATAGTTGGGAGTAACTGATTTGGATTTTAATTTTTGTTCGTTTAGATTTCAGTGTCTATTTGTCCAGTAGAATTCAAAGCTCTATTATTTAAGTCAGACTTAGCTTTACTACAGTGATTGTGTTACTAGGAATATGTGAAGCTTTATTTAGGATTCAAAATTGTACTCTGATTTTCCAAACGTGGTGACAGATTGATGGGGTTTAGCTATTGAGGAACTTCTCTATTTATATACTTCTATAAGAAAAATCCTTCTTTAGAACTAAATGATTGCTAACAATGCTAGTAATATTTTTTGTACATGTAACACCACACGCTTCATTCTCGTAATTATTATGTCCGAATAGATTATGTATTTGTAATGCCGCATAATTTACATGATAGATGTTTATGCTTCCTTAATGTTTATTTAATGTGTACTTAATAAGTTTATTGTTATTGTGATTAATTTTTTCTTGCAATGGAATGAACATTGCATGCTCTAAAAGATTAACATGCCAATTAATTTAATTATGGTGGGTCTATAATTGAATAATATAATATATTTAATTTGAGATTTGCTTGGTGTACATAATTTTTCATACATCAAGGTGTCCCACACTCACATGGGGTGGAACCCGCTTGAATATCTTTTTCGAGTAGACACCATTCCATGTGAGTGTATGGATACCTTAATATACAAAAAATTATGTACAACTAGTGTTATCCATTTAATTTACTATGTGTTCACGAATAATTTAACTCCGGGTTGAACTTAGATAATGAGTTAGAATATTATGCATTGACTTAATAAGCGAAGATTTTTCTATAATTTAATATGGAAATAATATGTAAACGTCATAATGGGATCTTAGTTTGTACAACCTATTTAAAAGATTAAATAAGTCAATAGGATTAATATGAGATCTCATTATATATATATATAGTTTTGTGTGTATTTATATATCTATTCATTGCTCACATTCATTATTTGTATATTGTTTATGAAATGTTCTTTGTCGTTTTGTGAAATTTTTAAGTTTTATGCTTGTGAAATATTTGAGTTTGTTGTTTAGATAAGGAGCCCATCTTTTGTTACAAGTGACTAAGTGTTCCATATTCAATAGGTATACGTTCATGTATATCTGCACATAAATACATATAATCTCTGTATTTAAATACATTATACTGATTTCTTTGGATTTTCTTACATGGTGCTAGTTCTACTTTTAGATTATTTATTCAATTGAAGGGGACTCCGTCACGTTAAGAAAAGTATGATTTCATTTTATTCTCCCTTTTTATTTCATTGTTTCCCGGATCCATTTTATGGTTTTTGATTTGAATATCAACGTGTGTTCTTTGTTTTTTTGCTTTCGTGAGCATTCATGATGAAATATTATGTCTTTCTGATTTCATATACTTATTAGGTTATTCTATTTACTTAATAGATTCTTATATTATTTGTCATGTTTGTTTCTTGTTATTCATAGATAAGTTCCTCACACCGATACAAATTCCGAAGGAAGAGCGCGTTCTGACCCATATTTTACAGGTTAGCAACACCAAATATGTATTAGTTGTCCTCGACAAATTCGATGCACAACAGAAGACTATGTTCGAGGAAAGTTGTTTAGGACATGTCGTGAAGTTGCTCAAGCTCAAATTATCTGCATAATTAGTTCATGAAATGGTTAATAGATGAGTGATTTGCTGAAAACGTTTTGAGGCTTGGTTCAAGGTCAATCAATGGTTTACAAGATTTGGAATGTCGGAGTTCTCACTGATCACGGGCTTAAATTGTGGTGAATTGCCTAAAAGGTTGGCTTTCGACAACATTCTAGAGAAAACTAGGCTACGAGACAAAATGTTTATTTATGGAGGTTGGATAACTTTTAGCGATTTGTAGAAGGTTTTCTTGAAATGTGCTAACCGTAACGATCGTTACAAACTTGGTTTGGTATATAATTATTGAAGGGGTTTTAATTCGAGATACCTAAATGTGGGGATTCATCCTAAACTCTCGTCATTATGGACGACTTAGATTTCTTCATTGCTTACTCATGGAGGACAGTATGTTTTAAACTTCTTATCAAATTAGTGCTCCGTGGATGAAGGAGAAATGTGGACTTGGCAAAGGTCAACGATTATGACAGGATGTCTTACACGTACGGATTCCTTCTTGCTATTCAGTATGTCTGTTTATTTCATTCATATTCATTGTACATTGTTATTTATGTCCGTATGTGGTAATCACTGTTATACATGTGCTGCAATTGTGGGTGTACGAGGCAATCCCAAAGTTGGGAGCTCGATTTGTGAGCAAGATTAGTGACGACCTTTCGAGGATGTTGCGGTGGTCACCACCAAATAGCCTCAATCGAGAACATATTTAAATTTCTTCGACAAGACACACATGAGCATTTATATATACAACTGCCCTTACACTAGTAGCATATATCACAATTTTATTTGACAAGACACTTTTCCTCCCTTTGTGGTTGCACTTGTGGACACTATCTCTGAAGAAGAATAGCAGCCATACTTTGCTACTTTACTTCCATTAGATGATGTTACTGACCAATTTTTGACAATCTCGTCATTCAATCAACTGAAATACAAGATTACCTGTCAGAAGGCAAAGTGATACGCAATGACGAGAAAAACAACCGATGCAACAGATTCAGGAGAGGTAACACAAGTGGGATTCGTCTTCGAGATTTCAGTGACGATGAAGGGGGAGAAAAAGAGCATTGTGATCCAGTCCAGGACTTTCCATCCATTTTTGGCTTGGAAAATCATCTAATAGCAAGCCATGTGTATACGGATGAGATAAAAGGCATGTTGATTTAACATAGAGAGTTCATTGGGATTACGCTGGGTAAATTGAGGGACAAAATGAACGCAAGGTTCAATGGTCTTGAAAAGAAAATGGGGGATCATGTGCACAAGATGAATGAGCATTGACTGATTAGATAAGTGTGATCAAATGAAAGTTTGAGGATGTAGTTACAGAAATTGGGAGAGAAAATGTGCGTGATGAGTATGGTGCATTTGGTTATGGTGATGGTGATGGAGATATGCAGAAACGTGATTACTATGATGATTTCTCGTTGCCCAACACTACAATTGACGAACAACATGTCGAGGCAACAAGAGTACATGCTAGCAATGTTAAGGCAACCAAACTAGATGTTGGCCACGTCAAGGCAACCGAAGCAAATGCTGTAAGCATCGAGGCAACCAAACTAGATGCTCGCAACGTCGATGAGTTGTCCAAAAAATGCTTAGATATGGTTGCCACCAATGCTATACTGCCATCTTGAGCTTGATCCCTCAGGGTAAAGCTGTCAAATGCTAGCACTCAGACTCCTTTTATACGGTTCGATTGTAGAAAGGGTAAGAGAGGTGTGTAGTTAGTTTACAATGTTGGTGGAGTATGGCATTGTATGTTTTGGAAAATATTTATAACCTCATTTTGTGTGCCATCATTAGGCAAATTTTTTGGTTGATGGTACAATTCTCATTGTTGATGTAGAATTGAAATGGGTATAAGAGTATTTTATTTCAGTAAGTACATGTTGTTTAGGACTTATATTGTGCACACATTTGAAATGTCAGTTTACGAGAATAACATGTATTTTATGTCGAGAACAACACTTTAAATGTCGAGACATGTCTGGAATGTATAAAACTCTAGGAAATAGAATGAAATCTTGTTAGATACATGAACTATTAAATGTTGAGATAAATTGGGTCCAAATGTCGATAACGACTTTTCAAATGAAGAAAACTTGATGAAATGTTAAGAAATATATGAACTGTCGAGTGTCAAGATAAACAAGGTCAAATTGTTGATAATGACATTCCAAATGACGAAAACATGGTGAAATGTTAAGAACAAATTTGAACTGTTCGGTGGACTGGCAAGATGACAACGAGATTTCCCAATATGATTTTAACAAAATGTGTGTTATAAATTCATGTTGGTAATAGATACAATTTCACTATTTACACGACAAGCACAAAATCTACAACCTATATCGTTAAAATCAATTGTAAATACATGGAATAGGAGTTGGTGTGTACTCTTCTAATGTAAGTACACCTCATTAACCATGCTTTACACCTCTACATAAGCATGCATATGTGTTGAAAGCTAATGTTTAAACACAATTCTTCACAAGAAATTCCTAGTAGGAAGAGCTTCTTTCAACTATGTCTTTTTCAACCTAAGAAACACCTCGTGTCGATATTGCTGTGAACCTTTTCCCGCCCGGGTCTTCAACTGGTGAAGTTTATGTAGTTTGGTAGTTGATGAACTTCTAGATATGATTTCTCCTTAATGTTGTTTGAAGTGTAGTGCGTTGACATTTAATGATCTTGAAATCATAGTTCACGACATTTATGTTTTGTAATGTTCTTTCAATGACTATGAAGTGTTGAAATGAATTGTGAAATTGCAAAAGTATATTATTCATCATTGACAAACTTGATATTAACATGAATAAAAAAAATATTCAAGTGTGAGGATTACTCAATGGTCTTGGGTTCCAACATGTTTGCCTATTGTATCTGTAACCACCGCACCATCTATATTTTCAAACGTTCATCGACCATTTAAGTCTTGATCGTTTTCATTGGGTAGGAAGTTGTCCTGGTGATCTACATATAGTTTGGGGGTGAAATGTAGATGGAACGAATCGAATGAGGAATAACCTAATCGGACACCATTCCAGTTGAATGAATGACTTCGTTGTATGCAGCTTGGCAGAACTGAGTGGTATAGTATGGGGAAAGCAAATCATAAAGTAGGGGTGTCAAAAAAGCTCGGCGGTTCAAGCGGCTTGCGGCCTCGGCTCGAAGAAAAAGAGGCAGTAAGGTAGAATTATGCCAAGTTTGTTGCCTTTAAAAAGGCAGTTTTAAAGGGGGGGGGGAATCGAGCCTACTCGGCTTGGCCTGTAAAAGCTCGAGCCGAAATTTTTTGGCTGAGCAAAAGCTTGGCTCACCATTTTAACCGAGAGGAGCTCGAGCCTAAAATTTTAGGTTCGAGCTCGACTCGACTCAGCTCGTTGACATCCCTATCATAAAGTGATTTTTCCTTCACGCATGCTATTTGAAATGCATGTGCGAACGTTATATGTCGCATCTGGAACTCTCGATATGAGTACGTGTTGCCTATAAGGTCAGCACATGTTTGTGCCTTCACTAACCTCCAATACGAGTTCAATCGACGTACTTGTCATGTTACACCGACGCCAAATGATTTTCTCAATTTTCCCTCCATCTTTGGTGCCAAGTCACTCTAGCATTTGGGAGATGCGGTTCTCCTATCGAAAAACCATTGTTGTATCAAAGACCTAACTCAACCAACGACGTTTTAGAAAAACTTTGTTGTCGCCTGAGGACTGCATTCAGGGACTGGGCACTGTTGTTCATATAGTGTTGTACCGATTACCACCAAAATTTGTATGTGACCATGACGAAATACCAGCACGTTCCAAATAAGAAGCAACTGGTGGTCAGATGCTTCTAATTTGCCCCATTAACTGTTTGAATTCTAACATGCGGTATGCTAGTGCGGCACGCTTAAATAAGAACACGACATTGCTACTGCTATATTTAGTGATTAGATTTTCTCAATATGCCAGATGCAAGCACCATGGTAAGAAAGTGAGCACAACCTGGATATTGCTCGCTTAATACTCTTCTTCTTGTCTGATACGAACACTAGCCTTTCTAGGTCGTCCACTACGTCCTATAACTTCGTGAAGAACCAATCCCAAGATACATTTGTTCCCCCATCAGCAATCCCCCAAGCAAAAGGATATATATGCAAGTTCGCATCATGCACTATAGCAAATAGTGTTCCCTTATACTTTCTCTTCAAATGACTTCCGTCAACATAAATGACTAGTCTTATGTAATCTCGAAAGCCACGTAGACTTGCACCAAATACTAAGAAAAAGTACAAGAAATTGTTATTGCTGTCAAGCTCAATGTGTGCGATGATTCCGAGGTTTTTCTCAGTTAAGACATGACAGTACGAAGACAATTTTTGAAAACTCTCTTTATGTGAACCATAGAGTCATTCAAGACCATTCTCTTTGCCCCTCCAATCTTTGTTGTTGCTAATTCTTATGTTGAACTCACATTCGAAACCCCCGATAATACCTGTGGGAATGTACGATTGGTTTGCATCATCTAATCGTCACATTATTTATTGTTCAATTACGGAATTGGTTGTATGCTTGTGTGCATTCCGTCGAACATCTAAAGAACATATGTGCCCAGGTATGTACCTCTGAACCTTAAATATATCTGAATTTCTTATCTTCGAAGCTCGTAATAACCATTAGCAGGGGGTATCCATGCAACATATAGTGAGAGATCTAGTATTTGACTTTTTAACTTTGAAATGAAACTTCTCAGTAAACCCTGTAGTCGAAGCTTTGTGTGTAGTTTCTTGCTAAGGAAGAGTTGCTTCTCTGCGATTTCCAGCTGATCTTCCGATTCATTTGCATTTTCAATATATGGATTTCCTGCAACTAGGCCGACATTTATATCTGAAATCATTTGTGGCTCTTCTAGTTCGAGCATACACCAACTTCGTCATACTCATACCTTTTTTACTGGTGATAAATGATCAACTCCGACATTCTCCTCTTGCTCTCCGATATCATATTGATCTGCAATTACACACAAAGCTACTCGTGTGTGAACAGAAATATGCCATTGTAAATCCTCGTCATTGGCTACATTAGCGGGGTTACATTTATGTTCAGAACTTTAAATTTGAGGTGGATCTGAAATTTCATCCTGTTAAGATGAAGCTTTTAGAATAATTTATTGAAAAGCTCTTCATATCTAATGTTTCTTTGAATAATAATTGATGTCGTTCGGTTCCCAAACCACTTCCACTCATCCTCTGTGTTGATGAATGTACCGCCATGCGAGATAACAGATCTCATCACATCTTCCATTTCTGTATGCCATCAACGTAAAAAAGATTAGCTAACATGAATACCAAAAACAAACATTATGCCCATAAGCAATATGGTCAACAATATTCACAAAATCTTCGATAGCTTCGCTAAGTTAATAAAATATAATTACGAACATTGAAATACTATCAAGAATTACATTTTTTAAGTGTCGTTATCGACAATTATAAAATATCGAGAATGATATTCGGCCACACACTTCACCATATGCATTCATCACTTTCTTTAACTTCAACAACCATTCTTGTAAGGAATTTGTTCATTCATTGAATAGGTTGTGACACCATGTTTGAGAAATACAAAACAACAAATATGAATTTAATGTTAAAATACTCCAATAATCTTATAACAAATATCTACTAATTGTTTGAAAATTGTAATCATCCATTTACATCATATATACCATGGTGACTGTTCAATACAAACTTATCAATAAAAAATGAGATTTCGAAGAAAAATTACCTTCTATGGGAAATTGTGGATGAGATTAAATTCCTTGAAATGAATTGATATGATTTTCTTATGAATTTAGGAGTATGTAGATTTTTTTGTGTTAATAATTTTGATACTCCATCATCTTCAATTTTACTCAAAATCATTGGTTATTACCTAATAGATAATGAGGAATATTTACCCATTAGGTATTACCTTGTTATTAATGTAGCTTCTCATTGAAGCTACATTAAGTTCCTAGAAATTTGTGAGACACTGAAAAGAAAAAAAAAAAAGGTCGTTTTATTTTCAATAAGGGTATAAAAGAAAATTTGATACCAAATTTGTCTGTTTTTGCGAGAGTTACTAAAATTGGACACTTTTTATTTGAAAAGCATGTAATTGGCCATTTTTGAAAATTTCCCTTATTATTATTATATTTGTTATTTTATTTATTTATTTATTTATTTTGTGTATTTCCACTTCTTTTTCTTTGACAATGGGAGGTTTGTATTGTTAACATTGGGGCTCCAAGATTTTTCATCTAAAGAGTGGATATAAACATTAATATACATTTTCCAATTAGAAAAACTTGTTCATCTAAAAAGAAAGCAACTTCCAACGACAACAAATCATGGTCAGTAAAACTTAAAATTTGGTCGCTTCGAAATAGGGCTTGATTTGGTGGACAATAAGAGTAAATATTGGTTGATTCGCACCTTATTACGACCAACCTTTGGTTGGTAAAAACATCAGCTTAAAATAATTCCATAATTTCAGCAATCAATAATTGGTCGAAGAAGATACACAATCAGTGACCAAATATATCGTATGAATATAATACAATGTTTAGGTCTTTAGGACGAATACTAAAATGGTCGCTAAATATTGATATTTGAAGATCAATATATAGCCGTTTAGTATTATGAAATAGTGACCAATTTGTGGTTGATGATCATTGATAACATTCATTGCCAAATTTTGCTTGGTGAACATTGGTACCATTTGTGACTAATCAGTAGTTGTCGCATGTACTTCGACGGCCATTTGTAGATAAAGCATTCCCTTCATAATGTAAGCATCAACAACTACAATATTAATCAGTGAATGTGATAATTTTTTTCTTATTTTCCAGCAACTATAATTTGGTTGCAAAAACACATTTACTAATCACTATCTAGTTGTTGAATGTTGAACGTGTCGAAAAATACTTTTAACAACCAATATTTTGTCCCAATATTATCCAATGTTTCAATTTTAAAAAAAAAAAATCAGAACGTTAAAATTAACAAGAAATAACTACATAGGAAAATTCTAACTGCATATGTAACAAACTGTAATAGCTGATACAAACTAAATATTTAATATTTAACCAAAGAAAGTTCTCATATTTTCCATGTAACTTAATATAATCACATTATGGCAGCACCAGCCGATGGCGACAGTGGAGACGATGGAGGCAAATCACTGGTCTGTTTTGTAGGAAGATCTTGAATCAAATCCATTTGCATAGCAAGGATCTGTATAAGTAACGCATGTTAATCAAGATATTTATTAAGCTCAATAATAACATTATCCTTCTCATTAACTCGTTGTGTAAGAATTTCCAACTCTTGCATAAATCTAGGAGTTGTGAATGTGTTACTATGACTTGTGCGAAATAGGTCCAATCCTTGAAATAGTCCGAGTACTCCTACCAAGAACTTGAATACATTGTTTCTTCATCCAAAATAGTTGCAACATCTTCTAGCCTTGTTTGTGATTGTTGCAAGTCCAACATCTCTTTCTTTTATACAATACCACAAGGTTGTTAAACTAAATAATATTTATATTAAGATACTTTGTGTAATAGGTGATATATCTTACACATCGTGACTTAGCTAATTGGTTTTCCTGTCCTTTTGATATGGAGTGCATCCTCCTAAACAATTCAATATGACCATCTGATTCTTCACGTGTGCACTGAAAAAATACGCAAAAATGAAAGTTGATCACTCAGATATTTATCCATGATATACAAATATTCATTGTCAAATCAAAGATCAAAATGCATGGATCGAATAGTTCATTGGTGGCAGAAGTGAAACTAATGCCATGGTTTGATTTAAGAATAATGTGCACCTATAAATTACATGGCATACGTGGACGGAGGGGGTCCTATATTGGCCGAGGTATCATTGACTATTAATTGATTTGACTCATTTAATAAAACAATTGCATTTTGGGCTTGAACTTGGGCTCGTTTCACTAAACCCATTTGGCCCACTTCTACTTCTCTATATATATGTGATTTCATTTCACACAAAGGTATGTCCATTCTAACCTATCCAAATCCAATAACCTCTCTTGCATCTTGTGACTTACTTTCTATTTCGACCACGAATTTATCAAACTCTTCAAGACTGTAAGCCTCTATAGCTCTTCAAACATTGCAACGATGCCACTGCCCCAATATTTAATCTTCAGGTTGCTTTGTTTATGGTACATACAATAACTATG